ATCCGATTTTTTCGGCCCACCCTAGTTTGTATGTATAGGGATATAACGCGGCTTGTCACGACGATAGAGTCGTCAATTTACAACGGATCTTTACCAAACTCAACAAATTTATTTTACCCATAGATACCGAAGTCAAGTTCGAAGATAAGTTCAATCGGTCAAGTAATTTAGAAATGATAAGATTTAAAAATTTTCAAAATTATAAAAATTCATATTTCTTTACTTTCGGCCTCGAATAACTTTGGAATGGGATAACTTATTGAATCTCTGTAAATTGCATCTGAAAGCTCTTTAAATAAGCTTTAATTTGAGTACCATATCATATGTGTAGTCCCAAAAGTATATCCTATTCCGCTATGCCAATTATGAAATTTGCTCGTACTAAAACTCGACGCTAACGCCCCTACCCACTAAACCCTAAACCCATTTTCCTTCTTTCCTCTAAGGGGCCATTCATTAATTACGTAAGGACAATTTTGGTCAATTTTGACCCCCCCCTACCCCCATGTAAGTATACGTAAGATTTCTCGAACCCCCCCTTCCCCTTTCTTACGTAAGATTCTATCTTGATCTTCTAAAAAGTTTAACAAATAAACTTTTATGTTAGAAAAGGATCAGTTCCACTAAAACTTACGTGGATCCATAATTTTTATTTTTTAACAAGGAATAATTTAAATAATACTAGCAAACACAAATCAATAAAACTACAAACTCATAATATTGTTCATAAAATAATATTTGACTAGTTTTAAATTAGTCTCAAAAACATAAATTAAATAGTTAAAGCTAGATCAATGAAAATTATTAATCTTCATCCGGACTAAACGGACTTTTAATCCATGTCATCCAATCAGAGACAATGGGTAGCTCATCAGATGTAACGGTAGATGAAAATGTTTTTTTATTTTTTAAATAATAAAAATATAATAATAGGGTAAAGTAACCAGTACCCAGCCCCCACCCAGTACTCAGTCCCTTTGTCATATATTAGTCAATTAATAAGTAACAATGATATATTAATTAAAAAAAAATATTGTAAAATTAAGCACCATATTTAAAGTACTCAAACTTAATACTACAATTCTAAATAATAGTGTCTTTTGTGAAAATCAAACAGTAGCACTAGTAGGTCTCGTCATAACCAACAACAATTGCCATCTTGCTAATTTTTTGTTTACATTCTGTTGTCACGGAAACTAGTTTCATAAATATCCAACGGAATATTTTTTTAAAAAAGTGAGTTGTATTATATTTAAAATAATCTAATTTAATAAAACTAATCATAATTTATAATTTTTATCATAAAATAGTCTTAAAAATATAGGGGCTGAGTATAGGCTTTTGTTTATGTCATTTATCCTATTGACAGCCGGGGGCTGGAAATTAAGATTTTATCGTTTAACCTATACTCGGCCCTTTTATAAATTTCTTACTTAAATATTTGATAATCATTTTTAAACGTTATTTAATTCGACTGAATAACAAAATTCGTTCTTTCAGAGTATTGGTATGGCCATTGACAAGAAGAAAAAGTCAAAAAATAAAAAAAAGCCATCACGAAAACAAAATAAATGTGATAAACCTGTTAACAAAAAACAGTATGATCATGAGCAGCTACTAAAAGCATTAAATGATATAAGAAATGGTATGGCCGTAAGAAAAGCTAGCCGTGAATATAATATTCCGCGTGGAACTTTACAAGATCGTTTGCATGGAAGAGTTCCTGAAGATGTTAGGAGAAAAGGTCCAAGTCCAGTATTAACGAAACTTGAAGAAGAAACTGTCGCAAACTGGTGCAGAAATTTGGTAAAGTGTGGATTTCCGTTAAAAAAAGAAGACTTGCTGAATACAATTGCTCAAATCATTAAAAGTGATAATCAAGAAACACCATTTAAAGATGGTCGTCCCGGAGTGAAATGATATAATTCTTTTATGAAAAGAAATAATTTAACAGCAAGATGTCCCGAGTCGATCAGCAAAGGCAGGGCAGTTATTACTAAAGAATTAATAAGAGGTTGGTTTAGCGGATTGCAGAAGTATCTCGAAGAAGAAGGAGTTGCAGATATTCTTGAGGATCCTACACGAATTTTAAATGGTGATGAAACAAGCCTACAGCTTTGTCCAAAAACGGGTAAAGTCATTGCACCAGTAGGATACAAAAATGTGTATCAAGTTTCAACGGGTCTAGAAAAAGAAGCAATCACTGTTTTGCTTTTTTTTACTGCAAGTGGAGAAACACTTCCACCTTGTGTTGTGTTTCCTTATATACGTCCTCCGCGAGATCTGATTGAAAGTATGCCTGATGAATGGATACTGGGCAAGTCAGAAACTGGGTGGATGAAAACAGATGTGTTTTACGATTATTGTACCAAATCATTGAACCCATGGTTGACTGAGAAAAACATTAAAAGACCAGTTCTTGTTCTAGTTGATGGTCATAAAAGTCATTTAACTTTAAAACTAAGCGAATTCTGTGCTGAAAATCAGATTATTCTTTATCCTTTACCACCTAATACAACTCATATGATGCAGCCTGCAGATGTGAGTGTTTTCAAACCACTAAATCCAGAATGGCAAAAAACTGTACGTGACTGGCAAATGCAACCGGAAAATCTTAACAGTCATCTATCAAAAAATAAATTGTGTCCTCTTTTAAAAAAACTATTAGACAGTACAAATTTAAGTGACACTATAAAAAATGGATTTAAAAGAACTGGATTATATCCATTTGATCCTGATGCAATTGACTATACGAAATGTGTTCAGAATAATCGAGAAAATTTGGAAAAGAACATTGAAACAACTATTGAAGAGATAGCAGCTTGTGAAGAGAAGAGTTCGACTGCATTGGATTCCAAAAAACCTCAAGATCCTTATGACGTAACCATGGAGGTGCTACAATCAATTAAACACTTATTTATAGACGATGGCATTGATTATCATAAAGTTCTCTCTACCATTGCTGATGCCAAATCTTTGCGTGATAACAATTTAGATTCATCATCTATAATTAATGATGAGAATAAGGATAATATTAATGACCAAAGTTTTGATGAACTAAGTGTGGTTGAAGACTACTTACTTGTCAACAGTATTGACAATATTGAAGAAGGAATTATTTTTGATGGCGAATTAGCTGAAGGCGGATTATCACAAGAAATTAATGTTGATAATCAATTGTCTCTAGGTGAGAGCTAATAATATTCGATTGATAACAGAATGTTAGTCAATTGAGTTTGATGTTTTTCATGTAGAAATTAGTGTTTTGTCGGAAACTATCCAATGCGGATAATTCCCGTAATTGTTTTTTAAAAATATGATGAAGTTGGGATTGGGAAATTAAATAATAATACTTGGATTTTTTGGGTAACAATTTAGAAGAATTTATTTGTCTCCAAAGGAGGAAAACCCAGCTAGGCTGGGAAAAACTTCCTTGATGAAATTATACAAGTAAATTGTGTGTGTGTGTGTGTGTCAGTGTGAATGTGTAAAATTACGTTGCAATAACGCAATAGGGGTGAGCTCAGCCGCCTTAGATAGAAAATTATTGATAATTTGAATTAGATAAGTCCCAAGGTGGGAGCTGGTAATATCTAATTAATTTGAACTGTCTCAGAGTGAGAGCTATTAATGTTCAATTGTCTCTAGGTGAGAGCTAATAATATTCGATTGATAACAGAATGTTAGTCAATTGAGTTTGATGTTTTTCATGTAGAAATTAGTGTTTTGTCGGAAACTATCCAATGCGGATAATTCCCGTAATTGTTTTTTAAAAATATGATGAAGTTGGGATTGGGAAATTAAATAATAATACTTGGATTTTTTGGGGAATAATTTAGAAGAATTTATTTGTCCCCAAAGGAGGGAAACCCAGCTAGGCTGGGAAAAACCTCCTTGATGAAATTATACGAGTAAATTGTATGTGTGTAAGTGTGTGTGTGTAAATTACGTTGCAATAACGCAATAGGGGTGAGCTCAGCCGCCTTAGATAGAAAATTATTGATAATTTGAATTAGATAAGTCCCAAGGTGGGAGCTGGTAATATCTAATTAATTTGAACTGTCTCAGAGTGAGAGCTATTAATGTTCAATTGTCTCTAGGTGAGAGCTAATAATATTTGATTGATAACAGAATGTTAGTCAATTGAGTTTGATGTTTATCGTGTAGAAATTAGTCAGATGATTTGAAATTTGAATTTAATTATTTATAAGTTAAATTAAATAAGATCGTAATTAAATGTTAATAATTAATTCAATGTAATTAATGGTTAATATCACGCGTCAATTATGGATTGACTAAAGCCGCGTGGCTGATGCAATCCTTTGTCACGGTGGCGCGTAATGGCCGCGTGGCGTCACTAAATAAATTTACTTGATTTTATTTATGTTAATTCACTGAACTATTAAACTGATTTAAATGAATTGAGAATTTAAAGTATAATTGAATCTACTATAATTATTTATATTTAATGAATAGTTTAAATATTTGAATGAATGTGAGATGCAAGTAAGAATTATCAAATTGATTAGCACAGAGTAGTCGTACTAGTACAGAAGTCCAAGCACAACTGTTGTATCAGACCACGCGAGCCGGCTTCTCTACCGCTAACCAAGGCGCGCATGTGCGACGGCCATAGCGTGATACGATTATTCCCGAGTTCATACGATTATTCTCGAGTTTTAACGATTAAGCCCGAAGGCGTAATTTCTCTTATAAGTATTTGACTAGATCTCTTTTCTAGCGGTTAAACAGATAAAGAAAAGCTTATTATTGATGCTTCAACTCTAGTCCAAAATTGTGATGATGCTAACAATAATTATGATAGCAGTAATATTAATGATAACACTTTTAAACAGCTGGGAACAGAAAGTACAATTAAAATAGTTGGAATGTCAAAAAATTTCCAGGATAAACTTGTTCTTCCTCCGCCCATTCCAAAAAGTAATCGGCCAAAAGTATCGAATCCTGTTGGAGCAATAACGAAAGCGGAATAGAGAGAAATGGAAAAGCAAAAACAACAAGAAAAAGAAGCTAAACAAAATGCTATTTTGCAACGGAAAGAATTAAGATTACAAATTAAAAAACAAAAAGAGGAAGAACGAGAAGCTAAAAAAAGAGAACGGGAATTAAAAAAGCGAATACCTGAAGACAAAGAAGATGAAAGTAACGATTTAGAAAAAACTTCTGCAATACATAATATTGAGACTGACAAACGAGGTAGAGGAAGACCTCGTAAGATATTTAAACTTCCCGAAAGTTAAAAAGAAATTCGCTGTGCTGATATACTTTTTTATTCATTATTTATAAATAATTTATGAAAATTTTAATTATTTTATGAATTGAATATATTTTTCTAATATCGCTAACTAATTTATATGTGATATTTATAATAGCGATTGTTACTTATTGACAGTAAAACTGATTAAATAAATTTTATAAGTACTTTAAATGAATATTCTTATGTTCGTTATAATTAAAAAAAGGTGGCTGGATATAGGAACTATTGGGGCTGGATACTGGGTGTTAGCGGCTGGTTACCGGTTGAAATTTACATTTTTACTAATTTGTTGTTTTTTAATTAATGTCGGTGTTAAATCAAAATTTATGGAGTTTATATTGAAAATAGACATATCAAATTGAAAATATACACATAAATTTGATTATCAATACTCAAAAATACTTAAAAATACAGACTTTAAAGTTGTAATTTCCTTAGGGAGCTGCGTACTGGTTACTTTACCCTACGCGGAAAAATGTACTATAATTTTTTCTATAGAATCAAACATGGATAACAATAAAAACATATAAAATTTTAATAAGTTATTTTTTACTTTTTTCAATAAGCAACAAAAATTATTTAAATAAAATAAAAATTCAACTGTACACTTTAAAATTAAGAAAACAATTTGGAATCCGAAATGGATAGATTTTTAATCTTGAATTTTGATTCATGAAATATTACGTAAGAATGAATTTTACCCCCCCCCTCCCCCCAACGTAAGAACTTGTAGAGATTTTCTTAACCCCCCCTCCCCCTCAATACCCTTACGTAACTAATGAATGGCCCCTAATCCCCTACGGTACGAACTTAAGGTATTACTTCGCGGGGGGAAGATTTAGCTGCCGCTCTTCCTTCTGGTGGCTAAGGTGTCATTTCTACCTTCCTTCTAGATTTTGTCTTTTGCTCTTTTTCTCTTGATGGAACGCAGCTCTGTAAGCACTTCTGTGGCAAAGGTGCTTGTGGCGTTCCAGGCAGCTTCTGAGGATAGCATTGCTTCTACTATTGTTTCTGGTTGGATACTTTTGTTCAGGATTTTCTCTAGTTCCTCGCACTGTGGATTAAAGCGAGGACGAACAAAGAACACGTGTTTCACGTCTTCAGTGACACCTGGGCAGGACGGGCACTCTGGAGAATCATCGTGCTTAAAGCGATGAAGATAGGCTCGGAAGCAGCCATGTCCTGACAACATCTGCGTAAGGTAGTAGTTGACCTCACCGCAGTTCCACCTGCTGCTTGAAATTGAGTCGGGCATCAAGCATCACTCCCAAATATCAGATATAAGGTTGCGATGTGATTACTTGTTCACCGACATCCAGCTTGATAGTTTCCATTATTTTTCTGCTCGTAATAAGTACTGCTTCTGTTTTATACTTGGCTAGTTCCAAGTTCATCATCTCCATCCATAGATTAATCCGGCTAAATGTGATATCGAAGGCCAGATTTATCTTTTCCAGTTGTTTCGCGACAATCACTACGGCTATATCATCGGCATACGCAACAAGCTTGACCTCTGATGGCAACGCGATTCTCAGGAGGCCATCATACATGATGTTCCATAATAAAGGACCCAGAACTGAGCCCTGTGGTACTCCTCCGGTTATTTCGTACTCCTTTGGACCACTTTTTGTGTCGTATTTAAGAACTCGGTTTGTGAAGTAGTTTGCTACCATTCTACGCAGGTATTCTGGTACTTTTTTTTCTTCTAGGGCCCGCATAATGCAATTCCAGTTAGTGGAATTGAAGGCATTCTTGATGTCCAGGGCAGCCACCAAACAATACTTTTTCGTACCACGCCTCCATCTACGTTCAGCAATTGCATCCTTAGCTGTATTGACAACCAGGTTGATTGCATCGAGAGTTGATCGTCCTTTCCGGAAACCATATTGGTTGTTTGCGAAAAGTGGATCCACAATTGCTTCTATCCTTTGATGGATTATACGCTCTAATATCTTACCCGCCGTGTCTAACATACAGAGTGGGTGGTAAGATGATGGCTCTTCCGGTGGCTTTTTTCCTTTGGGAAGCAAGACTAGTCTCTGTTGCTTCCACCTTCTAGGAAAGGTCCCTTCTTTGAGACGCGTATCGTAGGTTTCTAGGAATAGTGCTGGCGCTGCTTTAATAGCTGTTTTTAATGCAATGTTTTAGATTCCATCCAATCCTTGCGCCTTATTATTCCCTACACGATTACATGCCTCCATCAGTTCATCCAGAGTGATTGCTAGAATATCTTCAGGGTTAAGGTGCTCACATGGGTAGGTAAACTCACGTTGTCATAGAAACGGCGTGGAGATGACGATCCTCTCTAGAAGCTGAGGACACGTAGGTGACGGCATTGGCTGGTTTTTTAGATGAGTCATGACCACCTTATACGGTCTGCCCCATGGATCTTTTTCTACCTCTTTGTCGAGTTTCTCCCAGCAACGTTTTTTGCTATCTTTGATGGCCTTGTTCAATTCTTGACGGGCTTTTTGTACTCTGCGACCAGCTCCGCCGAGTAAGGTCATCGATAGCCACGCTGGGATAGTCTTCTTCTTTTAAGACACTCTTTACGAAGGGCACTGATATGGTCGTTCCACCAGTGTACTGGGGGTCTTTGATTTAGGCAACGCTTACGTGGCATACAGGCGTCGCAAGCCTGAGCAATTCTCTTCATCTGTTCTGTGCTCCTTTCTTCTGCGTCTTCAGCGGTAATCGGATCACTATTCAAAGATATTTCCAGTGCACCCGGGTAAAAGGACTTCACTTTCCACACAACGTTATTAGATTGCATATTCGGTCTTCTCGTATTCTAGTCGTGTGATATCTCCCAGAGAATCGCATTGTGGTCACTGGCCGTGTAGATATCCATCACTTTCCAGTAGTAGTTCCCTCTGATGAGGTTGCTGCTAACGAAAGTGAGATCTACGATGGAAGTCGCATCACCTTTGGCGTGTCACCATTGTTTAGTAGGACTACATCTAGCGAAGCAAAGGCCTCAAGTAATGCTTCACCTCGCGCATTAGTCAGCTTGCTGCCCCAGTCCACCGCCCAGGAGTTAAAGTCCCCAACTATTGCTACTGGGTAATGCTGCTTTGCGTCCTCGGTCAGTCGATCCAGGAAGTCAGTAAAAGTGTCAATAGAGAGGCTAGGTGGTGCATAGCAGCTATAAAAATGGATGCCGTTAACTGATGCTGCTACAAAGCCAGTGCTACCACTGTTCACTTCACTCTGGAAAGGATGCCTACCACAGGACCAGATGACAGCTTTGGTAGTACTGTCGGATTCCCAGGATTGGGTACTCAGATCTCTGTATGGCTCTGCTATCATTACTAAATCTAACTCTAGTTCTCTTGCTGTCTGCATAAGCAAATCATGTGCAGCTTCGCAATGGTTTAGGTTCAGCTGCAATATCTTCATGTTCTTTTGCTTGTCATTTTCTGAAGTGCCTCTTTGAATATCGGACACCTGTATGTACCGGCACAATGGGCAGCGTTCTCTGTTCTTTGATCCGCGCATAGTACACATTTTGCTGTATTTTTGCATTCAGCAATCTTGTGTCCCTCTTGTCCGCACCTGATGCATAGCTTAGACCGATCTGCCTTGTTTTTGCACTCGGATCCATAGTGCCCGAAGTGCCAGCATTTGAAGCATTGGATTGGTCTCCTAATGGCTCTAATTCGGCAGTTGGCCCAACCGATCCGGATTTTACCGCTTCCTTCCAGTATCTTCCGCGCTGCAATTGCCGATAGTGTCACAGCAGCGGTCTGAGTACCTTTGTAAGCCTTACGAATCTTAATTGCCTCTGGTGGTATCTCGCAGCTCTCCGGTTACCGTTTGCAAGGCAGCCTGAATGTCTTCCTTTGTTGTGGTGCTGTCCAGGTCTCGGATCTCGATGTCTTCCTGTGGCCCTTTGCAAATTACTCTGGCATCTTTTCTGAGGATACCCGCAATAGTCTTCTGTAAGGCTTGGCCTTTGTCGGTGCTCTTCCTCGACAGCGTAATCAGCATGTTCCCGCCCTGGTTTTGTGGATCTTATCCACCGTAGTCCGGATCTGTTCATCAGGGACGTCCGTCTTTAGCCGGCGCAAAATCTCAGAGTACTTTGCCGTCTCAGCTGGGTAGATGATCAGTGCGTCCGGCCTGATCCATTTGCTCAATTTTTTCAGCTTAGGCTCCGGTCGGGGCTCATTCGGCGGTTGCTTCTGGAGCTTTTCTTTTGCTTACTCTCTCTTCGACTTCTTTGACTGGACTTTTTGCCACTCATTCACCTCCTTTTTCCCGACGTTCTGTGTTACAACGTTTTTCGGAGGACTTGGTTTAAGGTTCTTCTTCTTCTTAGTACGGCTGGCCATTGAGTCTGGGGAATTTCGCTTCTTCCTTTTCCCAGGCCTGATATCAGTTCCAGTTTCATCTCTGTCTTCGACGACTGACTCGACGTTACCCTCGCCACCTGTGTCCATCTCTGCGACAAACGTGTCGGCTTTTGCAGGTAAAACCGCTGTCGCACTCGTTTTCATCACGACATTACCGTGTTGCTGTTGGATCTCCTGCCATTCTTTGTCTAGTTTTTTGAACCTCCTCAGGGCAATGCAGATGTTCGTCGACTTCGACTTGATCTCCTTGTGGCCATTTTGCTTGGTTTGGAGAAAGTCCTGCAGTCCACTGACTAGCTCCTCAGATGTACCAGAGCATCTGTCCTCTTCATCTTTGCACTAAGTAGCAGTGCGTCTTGCTGGACATGAGGCCCGTTTCCTCTCTTGTTTATTTCCTGTGAATTACTCATACTTTTTGATTTACCAGCAAATCGTACGGACTGGAGCGGGTTGTCATAACTAGGAACGGGCGTACCCTCGGAGATAGTACTCCTACCCCAGTTCCCTGAAGCCTAGCCGACACTTAGCCAGTCCCGGAATACACGGACGGACTAGACTCGCTCGAAGCGGTGAAGATTCCGATCTCTAACACTCACTGCGTACTTCCTGATCAAGGCCCGAAGTGGCTGGCTCCTGATCCACTGCTGCAACCTACACCTCGGCAAAGCAAGCTCACATCAGCGATAGCCCGTATCGTCGGAAATAATCGACACGAGTTCCAGACACGCCCAGTGAGTTACAGCAGGGAATGATCGTCTTGCTAGGTCAGTTAGTGTGACCAACCTATTAAAGGGGGAGGGGGGGGACTTTTTTCCTCGGGAGCGTATTTTATTTGGCTCCTACCCTCTGTACCTCATCAACTAAGAGACCTAGTGTCATCCAAGGACACCGAGCGTCTACCCATCCACTACGGGGAGACGTGCCTGGTAGCAGTTTCTCCTCTACCGCAGGTGTGTGTGTGTGTGTGTGTGTGTA